TCCTGCTAGAAGTCCACAATAGGGACCATTTTAAGTATTAGCTTCAAGTTAGCCAGAAGTCTTAAAAAGCATCAAGAAACATCAATTCATTAAGTTACAGAATGCTTAGAATTCTAGAAAATAGCTACGGTGAGACAACCAAGACATTCCCCACGAATTTTACTTCAAATGCCATTTACACCTTCCAGCTGAATAGAAATACATTCCCAGTAGAGGTGCACTGTTATATTGGTCACGTACCGGATCCGCACCGCTAAATAGAAAATTAACATGATCAGCTATTGGCTTTTTTTGTCCGCTGTAGCCAATGTCACTGATAAACGTAGCATGCACGCACGCAGCTACACGCATGGACATGGTGAGAAATGCAGCTGGGTAGCTTAGAGAGCAGCACCCTGCAGGTAAGCTGGGGTGGGAGGAGTGGGGAAGAGGCATTGGGGGGTAGATCAAAGTCCCCATGATGAAGGAGGAGGTGGGGCAGGTGCTGCCCAGCCAGGGTGGTGAATGGGACCCCAGGACCAGGAGAGGGATGGAGCCGGGCAGCTTGTCTGGGAGGTGCACCCTACAGCAGGGGGCTCCCAAGGAAAAGGCAGGAGAGCAGAGTGCCCCAAGCACGGGTGGCACTATGGGGGGCTATAGCCACCCTAAAGTCCACCTTAGCCTTCACATAGCCACACCTCCCAGTGCCACCACTGCCTGCCTCATGCAACTGAGCCTGCTCTGCTCCTGCCTGTGCTCAGCCCAGCCCCTCACCAAGAAGAGACTGGCGCTGCCCCGGCCCTAAGCCTGTTGTGGGCAGCCTGCCTCCACCCCATGCACAGATCTGGGGGGGCATATGCCTCCCATGACTTCCCCAAGGCTGCACACAGTTGTGCAGGGATGACCATCCCCTTCACCGTGTTCCCTGGACGAGCCACCCACCACTCCCTCCCACTCAGCTCTGGCTGAGCAGTGCCTGCCTCTTCCCCACCTCCCCCACCGTGGAGGCCTCAATCTGCCACTCCACACTCCTTCCCTCCCCCATTCCCCTCCCCCCTGCAGACTTACCTGCAGGGTGCTGCTCTCCAAGATGCCTGGCTGCATTCCTGTAAGTCAGCTATCAGATCGGTATTGGCCGATATGGCTGGTTACTAATCAGCTATCTGTATCGGCCAAGGAAATCTTTATGAGTGCACACCTAGTTCCTAGGCTATTGGGATTCCTCATGCTTTAAAATAATCCACAAGTTTGGTTACAAGAACTGACTGTGCAGCAACTGACAATTCCTTCAGTTTCTTCTTCTTCTGCAGTTGGCATACGTATCTTTCCAACATTCGTTTTTGCAACACGAAGTGTGGCTCGGAATTAAATGTTACCTGCCAACAGCTTACTAAGCAAATCTGGCATTGTTTGGTAAATGTAATTTTAACAGTGAAGCCGAAACCAAGCCAGGCTCATTCCCTGCCCAGTGAAAAGTTGGAGAAAGATTCATAGATTATAGAGTTGGAAGGGATCCAACGAATTATTGAGTCTGACCCCCTGCCCCTGGCAGGAAAGAGGACTGAGGTCAGACGACCCCAGCCAAGTGATTGTCAAGCCTCCTCTTGAAGACCTCCAAGTTAGGTGACAGCACCACCTCTCTTGGAAGCCCATTCCAGACTCTGGCCACCCTTATTGTAAAAAATTTCTTCCTAATGTCTAACCTAAATCTACTCTCCACTAGTTTGCACCCATTATTCCTAGTTACTCCCTGAGGCGCTATGTTAAATAGCACATCCCCAATTCCCTGCTGTCCTCCCCTGATAAATTTATAGGCGGCCACAAGATCACCCCTCAGCCATCTTTTGTATAGGCTGAAGATAGTGACATTAAATCATTAGCAAAACAATGTTTAAAAAAAAGTTAGCGCTGCAGTTCCCCGAGAAGAGAAAACATCAAGAGGCAGAAAACTACAGGTTAACAAATCTTGAAAATATGTTACTATTGATTATTTACTGAGCACTTAAAACAGCTCTTAAGCAAATCCCCTTTTTGCATCTTCTCTGTGTATGGAAATAGCATCCTACATCTTTGACACCACACTTCATTAACAAAAATATTTTAATGCAAGGTTGTTTTTTACAATTTATATTACTACATAGGTAGAAGCTTCTAATATGATCTAAGATCTGCCTGGAGTCAGATGATACCTATTAGTTTATCCAATCTAACTCCTACTCCTAAGGGAATAAAGAAGTATTCACAACTACCTTATCATCATCATTACGTTTTGCCTTAAGCAAATCCTCTTGGATCTAAAACAGTGGGCAATTACATCCAGAATGAATAACTACTCTTCCAACAGAGACGTGTAGCATCTCTGACTGGTTATTAATTGGACATTTTCTGCTTATGGGTTAAGCTATTAAACTACCACAAGTCTGCCTACAACTATGCAGCTATGATCCTTCCTCAACACTAATATGAACAAAGAAATAAAAACATGCATCCAAAAATTTTGAGAGAGATAGAAAAAACAGACATAGTAAAAAAATGCAAGAATGCTATACAATGACCTGTACTGAAATATTACTGGCACAGAGCTAGCTAGTCATGCTAATCTGAAGTCAGGTAGAAGGTAGAGAGGGTTGTACCTTATAGATGAACTGTTTTAGAGGCATGGGCTTTCAGAAACAACAACCTACTTTGTTAGATGGTATCATGCTTACAATACCTCTCTGCTGTCTATGTTGACCAGACAGACAATCCCTATGTAAAAAATAAATTAATAAAAAAATAAAAATAAAAAAAATGAATGGACGCTGATTTAATATCAATTCCAGAAACACACAAAAGCCCATGGCAGAATACTTCAACCTCCTTAGACAGTCCATTCTCCACCTCAGCATATCTATCCTTAAACTTCAAAAAAACAACTTCAGTGTGAAGCTGCAAAACAGAAAGTGAGCCACAGATTGGGCTGTATTAACCATGGTCTCAACTGGAACTATATGTTCCTATGCCACTACCTGGTCCAGCAGTTTCAGTGGTCTTCCAGATGTCAAGTGCCTTGTTCATCTAAAATTAGACTTCATCTTAACTGATCCACTTATTACTTCTCTTAGCACGCTCTCCCCCTGCCCATCCCTTTCCCTTCTTTAGAACAACCTTCGCTTTCTTTCAGCCCATCCCTTGCAGGTATCTGTTGCAGTTGCCTTTTTTAATAAAAACTGACTGCATGGTCTGAATGGGTATAACAGCAACTGGGACAGAATTAAAAAAGGATGCTACAAGAATTCATGCCTCTGAACCAGCTGCTTTCTAGAAGTGCCACCCTGCCTTCCCCCTGAAATGTTATTGGGCAGATTACTCTCCTAGTATAAGCAGATGCAACTCAGTTGATTTTAATGTAATTTTTCCCCTTTTTACCAAAGCTAAAATGCACTTTTATTTTGTATAAAGGCGCTTGGCTCAAGTACTTCTTACTAGTGGATGCTTTTTAGTACTGTAACATGTATTGAGGAAAAACGTACATCTCACTTGCAGAAACTCACTGCATGGGCATTTTGGTGCCCAATTTAAATAATATTTTATACTTGCCACTTCCAGTCCTCCTCTACCAGGATCTTGAACTCTAAAAAAAACAAAAAATGATGGTAAGCAGCATTCCAATTTTAAGTATGTTGAACACGCTTTGAAGGGGAAGACTTCAAGACTATACTAGTGTTAAAATGTTGAACACAAGCTTCTTGTGGGTTTCAAAAAGGGCAACAATTTCTGACTCATTATGTGATTGAACCTAATCTTTAAGCAGTAAGATCACATATTGTAGTAGGCCCCTGCAGATCCTAAATGGGGGGGGAGGAAAAGCGAGAAAGAGACAGTAATGCTCCACTATGACTAAGCATATTAAAATTTGATTAAATCTAATTTTGCAAGCTTTAAAGTGCTAGTGCAAGATGAATTACCTTCACTTTCTATTTTTTCCTTCCTGAATTGCATTTTCTGAAGGCAACTGGCAAATGCCACATACTGTATGGCCTGACTGGGCACTAGCTATTGGGTTGGAATTAAAAAAGGATGCAAGCAGCATGGGTTGGAACAGTGCCAGCTGTTCACTCCATTTCCTCTTTTAATGTTAAACTCTTTCCAATAAGATTAACACAATTATATTACTACACATTCATTGTTCAGGAAGCTTATCTAGCTCTTCCTCTTTTTATCCTTCTCTTCCGTCATCATACTACACACAATGACAACTACTGAGAGTTGAACACAACATGTTTGGGTGCAGTATGATGGCTTTTTATCTTGTGTGAGGGAGGGGCAAAAGGGGGGAAAATTTACTACAGCAAATTTTGTAAAGTAGATCCACAGAAAGGGGGTAGGACATAGCCTTTGGTAAATGGAGCTAAGATAGTATCTATTAATGTATATGAAAGATATCAGAGCGCACCAAGGCTAGATAAGCTCAAACTTCTGAAGGTTAGGACATCCAAACCTCACGTTAAAATTACAAAGATAAAAGTTGAGACTGCAAAGTTAAAGAAACCCAAATCACTTTAACTCTGTCCATATACCCATTGTATTCTGCTCCCCCATCACCAGGGTAGCACAATTAAGTGTACACCCAGCCATGGAATTTACTAGTTCACATCAATTTACATCAGTTGACAGAGTTCTTCTCTACATTCTATCTTTCATTTTAATGTATTTTGATTAATTATATTTCTAGCACTTATTGTTACATATAGAATCATATAATCATAGAAAATTAGGGTAGGAAGACCTCAGAAGGTCATCTTCTAGTCCAACCCCCTGTTCAAAGCAGGATCATCCCCATCTAGATCATCCCAGCCAAGGCTCTGTCTAGCCCGGTCTTAAAAACTTCCAGGGATGGAGACTCTACCACCTCCCTGGGTAACCTGTTCCAGTGTTTTACTACCCTCTTAGTGAGAAAGTTTTCCCTAATATCTAATCTAAACTTCCCTTGCATTTAACCAAGCACTAAAAGTACAAAATGAGCAAAACTAATGCATTGGTATCTACCCAAGCCATTAGGAAGCCTCCAAATAGCTGTAGGAAGTGTGACCAGACTTCTTAATCAGGACTCCGCAATTTCATAACTGCACAAATATGGGGTTTTTATCCTAGGATGCTGTGATCTCAGTCACCTTCCTGACAAATACTGTCATTTCACTGCTGATCCATCTTATTGGGATCTGCCTGCAGCTCCCTTGTTTTCCCAATCTACCTGCAGAGATAATCATAGAATCATAGAAGTAGGGTCAGAAGGGACCTTGTAGATCTTCAAGTCCGACCCCCTGCCTGGGCAGGAGGAAAACCGGGCTCAAATGACCCCAGCCAGGTAGGCATCAAGCCTTTTCTTAAAGACCCCCAGGGTAGGAGCCAGCACCACTTCCCTTGGAAGTCGTTTCCAGATCTTAGCCGCCCTGACTGTGAAGTAGTTCCTACAGATGCCTAATCTAAACCTACTCTCCAACAACTTGTGGCCGTTATTCCTTGTTATCCCGGGGGGCGCTAGGGGAAACAAGGTCTCCCCCAAACCCTTCTGGTCCCCCCTAGTGAGTTTATAGACGGTCACAAGGTCCCCCCTCAGCCTTCTCTTGTGAAGGCTGAACAGGTTCAGGTCCCGTAGCCTTTCCTTGTAGGGTCTGCCCTGCTGTCCCTGGATCATGTGGGTGGCCCTCCTCTGGGCCTTCTCATTGTTGTCCACATCCCTCTTGAAGTGGGGTGCCCAGAACTGGACACAGTACTCCAGCTGCGACCTGACCAGTGTTGCGTAGAGGGGGAGGATCACCTCCTTGGCCCTACTTGAGATGCACCTGTGGATGCACAATAACGTCCGGTTAGCCCTGCCGACCGTGACCTCGCATTGTTGGCCCATGTTCATCTTGGAGTCAATAATGACTCCAAGATCCCTTTCTGCCTCCGTGCTCTCAAGAAGGGAGTTCCCCATCTTATAAGTGTGCTGCTGGTTACTACTGCCCAAGTGCAGCACCCTGCACTTGTCCGTATTGAAACGCATCCTGTTTTTGTTAGCCCACCCCTGCAACCTATCCAGGTCTTGCTGCAGTCTTTCCCTCCCTACTGACGTGTCCACCTCACCCCAAATTTTGGTATCATCAGCAAACTTAAACAGGTGCGCTGGAACAAGCGTACACCCTGCATTGTTCAATGGAACCAGAGCTGGAGACCAGCTGGCAGTCAGGGAACAGAGAGCCAGAAATGTAAGCAAGAAAGCTGGGCTTCCTGAAGAAGAGGAAAGCACAATCTGGAGAGCCTTATAGAGGAGAAACTGAAACTTTCCATGAGCTGCTTCTTCTTTGACATACATTGGGGAGGGAAGAAAGAATTTGGACTTAGGCTGCCTAGAGGCAAGCAAGAAGTCCATTATCAAAACAGGCGGTGCTGGAAAAGAAATACATTTACATCATAAGCACTTTTATTTGAGAATGATTGCTGTTTGGGCAGGGGCTCAGAAAGGATGGGAGTGGGGAATTTCTCACAGAAAATAAAGTTTATACTGCTATGGGATTTAGATGTCTTTGACCCAGAATGTGGCTGTGTTAGAGTATACAGGGACCCATTTATAAGCATACCTGAGATTAGCATTAGCATGACTTCTCTGACCAACAATAGCACTCAAATCTCCAAGGATCTGTGCACATTTAAAAGGATTTGCCAATTCAGACACAGGAAAAAGCATACAGGCAAGCCCCCCCCCCCCCTAGTGAGATGCAGCTTTTTTTCTGGCAAATGTACTGTGTCCTCACTAAAACATCTATCAACAGCACTATTTTGGCTAATGGTAAAACTGTTTTCACAACTTAATTTTGCAGGCAAAATTTGAGTCTAGACCAGTGGGGGCCAACCTCTTTGGCAGGTGTGCCACAAATTAAGGCTGGGCACTACCCATCCCCTCAATACCACTTCAAACCCCATCATCTGCATCCTACTCTCTGTCCCATCTGTCGTAAGCCATACACAGCTACTACCTGTGCCATTTGTAGCACACATGCCACAGACTGGCCACCCCTGGTCTAGACCAAGTTTAGGATTGGTAGCCTGGCAGGTTGATAAGAGCTGTCTAAGCTCAATTTGAGGAGTTTATGGCAGTCTGAACTACAGCTGGTGCAGTAAGGACCAACTGGCCCAGATGCAGAAAGAATATGGATCCACACGTAAGCATAATACACTTAAATGCTTCCCGGTCCCAACTTACTGCCCATTAATAACATTGTTACAAATCTGGCTATCTGCACATGAGTTAAATGCATACACTGCACATTGTGAAGCCGTTTCATTCAGCCCAGCTTGTGCCTGGGTTAACTGCAGAGTCACTAACAGCAACTATCTACTTTATAACTCCCTTTAACTGTGTCAGAAACAAAAGAGGAGGAAGCAACTGTCAAAAGGCTGCTATTGAAAGGGTACCTGGAAAAGGACAGGAGCTAGTTAGCAGCTGTGAAATCATCTCCCCTCATTTTCCAGCCTTTTCAAAGCAGCCTAAACAGCAACTATTAAAAGCCTTGAAAATGGGGGAGCTAGGTAGTTTGGGGGCTATTGAGAGCTCAGCGCTGGCAGGGCTACACGCTTAACCAGCAGTGACTGGAGAAGGGCAAAGCCCTTTTTCAGTCTTAAATGGACTACACTAGAAATCTAGGCAGGGAGAGAGAGGAGGTCAGGATTAGTTTGCTGCTTGAGCACTAGCCTTCTGGATGCACACACCTGGTACCCAATATACTAGCAGCTGCAGGAGCTGGTTCCTCACTCACTACTCCTCCCTTTCCAAGATTCCTCCTCTGCCTCATCGGTCCCTGGTCAAAGCGAGGTGTTACAGGGACAGACACAGCTATTAAAACTGCTGCAAAAGGAACAAGGAAACTTTCTCTGCTCTATGTGACCTAGAGCTCTAGACCAGGGGTAGGCAAAATATAGTCCATGGGCTGGATCCAGCCCACTAACTAATTTTCCCACCAATTGATTGTATCCAACCCACTGCACCTCTGTGGTGCTCTACATGAGGCCAAAACCTGCCCATTCCTATGCAGGGCAGCCTGTACTGTGCTCCCACCCACATTCACACTCACTGGATGGTCCTGGCCCCAGCCACTGCACACAGCCTCCAGCGGCTCCTCCTCCTCCTCCTGTGCTGCTCTGGGCAGCAGGTAGGGCAGGGAAGTGGCAGTGGGCAGCTCCTGACTGACCATGCAGGACTCCAGCTCCACATATTCAATTTAAGGCACAATGGAAACCAGGTACAAAATATTATAAGTTTTGTATATTTATAATATTCTTGTGGCTGGTTTCCCTTCTTGGGGAATTGTCTGAACATGAGGTCAGTTACTATTTAAGGTGCAATTAACAGATTAATTACATCTTAAATGTAACGTCTGTCAGGGGCCTACGATGCCACTGTGTCCTGCCTTCTGGCTGACTTTAGACTAACACAGCTAACCACTTCTGCATTTATGTGCAGCGCTATCCCCCTTGACCAAATAGAACTGCTTATGTAAGTCTATGTAAGCAAGCCACAACAGACAGCTCAACTTTTTACAGAGTGACTGGTGCATTGAGAAACTTACCACCTGCTCTTAAAGCCAGTACTAC